AGTGAGATGAAGAGGGAGAAGTGAATGAGGGGGAAGAGAAAGTAAAGATGGTTATGAACATGGCTAGAGAGAGAGAGGACAAATGAAAATTAGGTAAGAAACTCAAAAACAGAAAAAAGGTGAAGGAATCAAATGACCTCGTGAAGAAGAGAGAGGACAAAGCAAGGAGGAACAGACCAGGAGGGAGACAAGAAAGATGAAGAAGGAGAGGGGGAGTGTGGTAAGACTGGGAGAGTCACGTTTATCAGCGGTCCCACAGTGTGTTTCCTAAACACGGGATTTGGAGATGGGGTAAAGGGAGAGTGTGGGACAGGGCACATTAAAGTTTTTTTCGGGGGGGGAAAGCCCCTCTTATGGAAGTATCTTTCTTTTTGCCTGGGTTTGATGTGAAAGAGAGCTGCTCCTGCTTTGACTGTGTTGTCTGCGGTTTTTAATATTCATGCAGCAGATCGGAAAAGGGGAGAGGAGAGGAGGTTTTTGGTCAAACAGAAAGCTAATTTGTGGCTGAGGCAGTTTAGCCCGAGGCTCTTTCTGCTACTGGAGAAATGAGCTGGAAGATTAGCTGTATGTATAATTCACACACACATGCACCAGTGGTGTGTGCTCACACTTTTATAAAAAGATGCACATATGCACACACAGAGCAGATGCCTCTCTCTCTATGAAACATTGTGTGTTACAGCAGTAACCTACTGCTTGGCCTTTACTGCTGCATCCTCCCCTTAGGCCGCTCCCTGGTATACAGCATATATGCTGTAGATGTTGGTAATCTATCAAGTGACAGCTTGGTAATTTGTCAAGTGTTCATGCTACAGTGAAAAAGTTCTCTGACAAAACAAAGTGATTTCTTAATAAATATAGCTCATTATGAGATGAGTAGTTAGTAGATAAGTCACAATGTGAGGACACTTTATGGCTCTCCTATGAAAATATGCACTGTTCACTGTTTAAAACTGAAACTACACACTTTGATTTCCAGGTCCACGACAGACATGCGAGTGTCTTCCTGAATGGGCTCGAGGAGGACGAGACACCGTTTGACACACGACCTCTGAGTGTCAGACTTGTTGATATCAGCGAGGATGCTACCATGTGGGTGGGACTGGGCTCCAATGGTAATGGTGACTGTTTTATAAACAAATATTTTCTTTTATACTCTTTACTCACTTAACATGTTTTTTGGTAAGATAAATTAGTTTAATACTACATTACCACATTTTCCAAATATGGATCCAAATTCCCAGGGGTACTGTTTTAAAATATCTCCCAAATGTTTAAAAATGATGAAACAGTTAAAAAAAAAAGTCATAGATTCAATCAAATGCACATCAGTTTCTATTCTGCCAGGATCATCAATAATCATTTACCAGTGTTTAATACTGCAGCAGAAGCCTCGAATAGCAAAGCAGGCCCACCATCTGTTTTTACCTTGTGTTTGTGTATAGTGACGTTGACTCCACCTTTTCTCTCATCCTTGATCTCCTTTCAGCTCCATATCTGTGATTGATTGGTGGTGCCTGAGAGCCACATCAGAGTTAATAGGAGAGAAATTGAGAGAAAAATGATATCCGTTCATCTTCAGGGTGATAAACGAGTGTTTTTCTTCTCATATATCAGGCATTGATCCCTAGTTCACGGCAGGTAGCATCTGATCAGCTGAAGATCACATCAGAGGGGTTGATCAATACAAGTGATTGGCTCAGGAGAGAGTGTGTGTGTGTGTGTTGAAGCTGGGGGGCTGTGTCTAGAACTCAGATCAGTGGATTGATTATGCAAATGCTGCTCAGATGTATTAATTAACAACTGTGTCTGGTTTTGGGACCCTGCAAACTGAAAACAGTGTGTGATAAGAACAATGAGATGTCGTCAAGAGAAGAGCCTCATTGTTTTTAAAGCGATAGCCTGATCACTTGTATCAAAAGAGACACTAACTTGTCCTGAATCAGCTTAGCTACTGATTTAGAGTAGTACTGATAGAGAGAACTGATTTGGTGGTATGGTTCAGTTTTTTTTACCACATGTATGAGCTGTTGTGGTGGCCAATTTGCAGAAACATGGGACATTAAAGTTATTTTCCTTAGGATTTCTATGAATCAAACCACATTTTTGGTACTATTTGTGGTGAAAGTTTTCATCAGCTGTTAGAGTGAGTATTCAGTGCATTTACACTAATTATCTTCTGTATATTAATTCTTTAGTGGCAAAGTGCCATTCCCACGCTGCATTCAGATGGCCTTCACATGCACAGGGGGTTCACAGGAAACGGTTTAGTGTGTACTTTACTTTTACATCAGCATCAGTGGTTATTCTTCAGATGGATTAAGTTATTAAGTTATACCAATGTATAAATGCATAACATTTGGTCATAATAACCTGCTGGCACAAACATATACTGTCATTTTTTCCACAGGAGAACAGTTGAAGCAGTCACAGGTTGCACTGTAAATGTATACACAATATACAATATTAAGGACCGGTGAAGGACAGAAAAAAGACAAAAAAATCACACATAACACCTAGTTTGTCATCATTTCTAACAACATAAAAAATGGAAACAGATACAGGTACATGACAGAATTTGAAACAGAGAGAGAAGACAGAGACCACAGAGAAGAGAGAATTAAGGCTTATACCTTGCATCATCCCAGTAACAATAGGGAGAGTGCTTTTCAGAGGAAGGCATAATCCCATTTCCACACGCTAAAGAAATCCTGAGCCAAAGCCTGAGGCTGCACAACCACACACTGTTCTAACACACCAACATCTCCTAACATTCTCACTCCATTTTACACAAACATGGCAAAGCCTCTCACAAATGCAAATACATGCACACACTCATACACTCCCTGTAAAGTGAGGATTATTTTGGCATACACACAGGAAACACTCAAGCACACTCTCCGTTTCAAAGACAAAGCTGGACATGGCAGGGCTTCTGTCGACGCTCAGAGACGTTATCCGTTTTCTAAGAGTTCTTGTCAGACTAGACAGAAGTTTGTTGGATGCTCAGAGACTGGGGCTGTTTTTGGACCAGCATCGTCATCTGTGTAGGTCTCTCATGTCCTGTCCAACACTGTCATATGTGTGGTTGTGTGTGGAGATGTTGGGGGCTTGGTTGTGTCTTTGTATGTGTGTTTGGTGTTTTTTGTGTACAGTCCAGTAACCATGTCTGTATGGACAGATGTTTGAGATGTTCCAGTGTATGTTTGCTTGGTAAAGACACTTCAGCATCTTGGCAGAATTGATATGCGTCGTCTTTTCAGATGTTTTCTTCTCAACATCACCCGGTGGGCTTTATCAGACTTCTTCCCGTTTTCCAGCTAAAATGTGTGTTCCCAAGTGCATCCCGGCTGTCACTTGTTAGACCAACATATACATTTATTATAGCTTAAAATAAATCATTGATTCATTCATTGATTAGTTGCTGGATAAGCAGGAGATTAATCTGGAACAGTTTAAGAAATTGATTTACTGCTGTTCAGACAGCTCAAGTAAGCAAAGGCATCACCTTTGGCTCTGGAAATGTGTAAGGGGCATTTTCTCAACATTCTGATATTTACAGGCCAAGTGATGAATCCATTAAACAAGACTGTGGCAGATCCCGTTTGGCTTTGTGCTCTGAATTTGGCCATTGTGAGCAGCCTCACTTAGCTGGTATCGAGAAACAATCTACTAAATACTGTGAAATCCTCTCACCCACTGCCCTCGGTACAAACCCATTAACACATTCTTTATGTGCTTCTCACTTTTCATCTCTCCAGGGTCTAATCAGTTCATCGGACGGATGCAGGACTTTAGATTTTATCCTGCCACTTTGACCAACAGGTGAGTTGGATATAGAGAGACAGAGACAAGTATTGAGCAGCTATCTGGAGAGGAAAAAGGAACTGTGCTGTGAAAGAGAAAGTTAGAAATAGGAAGTAAGGGATGTTTGATTTAAAGTGTAAAAAGAGGTGAAGTTATAGCCATCGAAAGATTAAAGGGGAAAGAAATTGAGAAATAGACCGTATATATTAAAGCAAGAAGGGCAGAGGGACAGTTTGGAGTGATAAAAGAAGAGGAAGGCTAATCGTTGCATCTTAAGATCCACACTGCCTCCAAAGGATTTTCCTGATGAGTCAATGCAAGGCAATTAGTGTTTTTCTTACCAGTGATGCTGTGCACTCACTTAAGGACTTGGAGTTTACAAGTGTGTCTCATCAAGAATGGGAGAGACAAATTGACGGATTGAGCTTTCAAATTAAGCATTTGATTTTCCACTTTGCTCCAAATGTTCAGCTAAAAGCTCCTCAACAGGTGCTTTAAGATTTAATTTTAAAGTAAGTTGTTATACAGGCTTGTTTGTTTGTTCATTTTTATTCATCCTCACAATCACTGCACAGCCCTATGTATCATATGTATTGTATTAATAGTCCATATCAACTATGTTTTGGAATTCCTGTTTTGTTTTTTATTTTATTATTTTTAATAATAAACATGGGATGGGATTTTAATTATCTTTAGTGCCATGTTATGGATAAATATACTTTACTGTTTCTTGATTTATTAGGGAAATAGTGGAGTTGTACTCAGGAGCTCTGCCCGAGCTCCATACCCAGTCAGAGTGTCGCTGTCCTCCCAGTCACCCCAGAGTGCACCCTTTAGTTGAGAGGTACGATGTCAACTTCTGATGTGCTTATACAATAACTACACTAAATAGTTTAATTGAAAGTCAGGTTTGCCTTTTGAAAAGACTGTTTGTGCCCCTGTCTCTTTAAGGATTTAGTCTATACAGTGATTATGATAGTCTTAAGTGTTGATGGTCACCGATTCATGCAGCTTTGCAGGTTTTACTCTACACACAGCTACTAAAGAGCAGGATTTTCCGTCTGTTGTGAGTTGTGGATCCAGTCAGATCAACAGTAACCTTGGGTTATTCTAGGTCACTGTGTCCACATCCTTTGCCTGCTCGTTCATTGTTACAGTAGCTACTTTGGTTTAATTGTAAAATGTAAAATTAAGCCAGACTCTACTACAGTTCAGCTGATTTACTGTAACTGGTATTATTGTATACCTATACAATGTCACTGTTACAGATACTGCATTCCTAATGCTGTTGAGGACACCACCAGTGACAGAGTCTTAAGACTGGACCCTAACACTCACCCACTCAGCTATATCAATGACCAGGACATGGGCACCGCATGGCTTTCTAAGGTCATGACTACACAGGAACTGGATGAAGGTGTCACTGTTACAGTGGACTTGGTTAATGGACAGTACCAGGCAAGATGTATTCATCTATGAATACACACACACACAATAAGCCATGACAAGCAGACACACAGATGTGCAAATATATTAACTAGTCATTAGGTTTAGTTAATTTTGAAAGGCCACTCTCAAGAATGTACCATTTTCTGGACTGTAATAATGGTGGAAACAGTGTCTTGGAGTTGGAACTGGATCATTACTCCATACACACTTATACCCTGTGGATGAGGATATTTCCACTCTGAACACAGTTGCTAGTAAAGATACTGTATCATTGTGTAGCTGTCAGGCCTTGGGTTTGATCCTCACAGTATACGTACATTCTGTGTGCATCAACTTTGGACACTGATTCCACTTCCACACACCAACCATGTGTTGAATCCCATCCACCTTTTATGCGTTTAGATCGATTATTTACTGTAGTTGAGCTGTCACAGATTCATGCAGCTTTGCAGTTTTTACTCTGCACATAACTACCCAAGAGTAGGATTTTCAGTTGTGAGTTGTGGATCCAGTCGGTTCAACAGCAACCTGGGGTTATTCTAGGTCACTGTGCCTGCTTGTTTGTTGTTACAGTAGCTACTTTGGGTTGGACAGAACACTAAATTCTGTCACTGTGGAGTGTACATTTGAAATGTTACAATGCAAACACAATGCCGTGCACTGTCTGTGTGTTTGCAGTGAACAGTAATTTCATCCTCTTTCTAAGCACTGCAGAGAGAGAGAGAGAGAGAGAGCGCTGGATTTGGGCATTGTCGGTTTTGGGGTTGTCAAAAGACTAAGTCCTCTTCTCTCTGAAGTGCATGTGAGTGTGGGTAGGATTCTGGGAGCTGTCGTGATGTGGTCTCTCAACTCAAGTCCCCAGATTAAAGACACTTTCTGAAGTTCAGGCTCTGTGTGTTAATGTGTGTATGGGTTTGTGCAGTGGTGGTGGCTTACCGCGCTCCCTGCTGTGTAACCCAGTGGGGCAGATAACACCTAACACACAACCACACCTACACACAGGCATCGGCATGGTTTATGTTACACTATGTGCCATTGTGTAAATATGTGTCTGTGTGTTGTGTGAGGGCTGTCTGTTAAAAAATAAAAAAAACTTAATTATAATTTTAGGTTGTCCATAGAGAAGTAATGGCTCAGAACCAAAATTACATTTTTACCATTTGAACAAGTTTAAGGCTTCACAGGACAGCGCGCAGTGACCGAGCAGTATCCTGATGTTTTGTCTGTACCATTACAAACATGAGGGGGCAAAAACCTAGTGACACCTCAGATTAATGCAATGCAAAACAGTAACACTATTTACTATGGCCTTGAAAATACATGTTACACAGTGTCAAAGTCTGAACATTTAAGGCTTCCCTGTGGGATGATTTAGTGCATGTCTGCTGTTTTGGATCGCATGCACCTATTCATGCTAACTTGTACCTCTCCCTTCTCCAGGTATTCTACGTTATAGTTAGGTTTGACAGCCTTTTGCCCGAATCAGTTCTGATCCAAAGACGGAGGCTTGACCTCACAGAACCCCAGAGCGGCACCGCCACAGAACAGCCCTGGTCGGACTGGCAGTATATGGCTAGGGACTGTAGTGTGTTTGAAATGCAGAACAACGGGCCTTTACTGCGACCTGACTCTGTGAACTGTCTGCAGCTGCCCAGGTAGGTGTGAGCGTGTGTGGGTGGAGAATAATGTGTGGTGTTTGACTATATTCACAACAACTTTGCACTAAAAATACTGTTAACATTAGTTTGTTTTTGTCCTCGATCTTGATCCGAGTTCTTTTATGTTACATGTCTACTGATACAGATTTCAATCCAACACTCTAAAATTTGGTGGGTGGAGCTGGTCGAAAGCTACAAAAATGTTTTTTAAGACATAGTTGATTATACTCGACATAAAATTAGCGTTTGTTTTCAGCTCATTCACAACAGTTCTGTAAAATTAGAAAAATGGTCAATGTGTAAACGTGCTTATATTGGCTTAGGGTCGAAAAGAGGACCGGCAGCGTGCAAAGCAGCAAAAACATCAGAAGTTTGTCTTCTGCTTGTTCAACAGTTGCTTAATACAGTGAGATACTGTTTGTGAAATTTGAAATAGGATCTTGCCCATAATATGTCGTTAGTCAAATGAAGAGGTGTCTGGCCACAGACTGATATTCCCATCTGCAACGGCCTAGAATCATAAAAGCCATAAATGTACATTTATGCGCACATGCGTGTTAGTCCTAACATGCACAAAACACAGGTCACAAGAAATCCAAGGAAATCAAACACCTACCATTACACAGATACTATATAGAATAAACACACACAGGCACTTTTTCAGTGACTAGATTTATCAAACTAACCGCCTACAGTGTTACCTTGGCACATGAGCAGCATCAGGCTCTCGATTGGCAGTAGACTGAGAACTAGGCTTGGAGCAAAGTCTCACACAAACACACATTCAAACACTAAATCTTGGCATAGCTGCTTGTATCAAGGCCTCCGTTGGCACTAGATAGAACAGGTATGGATAGATCACAGATTATGTTCTCATTGCTTATTTTTCACTTGTCTGACAAATGATATTAGACAACCTTTCCTGGCATAGTTGTGCATATTCATAAGAGCAATTGAACCTCACACTGACAACATAATAACACTCTCTGTGATATTGGTGATTGATAATTATACCAAAAAGATCATTGTCTTTGATCGTGCAAGATTTATTTTTTTTCTTGCAAGATTTATTCGGTCATGCATGAGACATGGCCTGCTCTGAGCCTGCTGGAGTGTGTGGCAGGATAAATGTAAGTGTGCCTCAGTGTTTTCATAGAAGTCGTTTACAGTTCTTCTACCAATATATTTGCATTAATCTGACATCGGCTGGGATATCAGCCTGACTGATATCGGTCCAGCTCTTTTGTACTTTTTACATGTGAAAATTTTACTACTCCTACATCTGCTCGGTTAAAACATAATTTAACATCAAAAATAGACCTTTCCATCATGATCACAAAACATTTTGACGAAATTTGATTTAAAAAACCATTTTTTTACTTTTTTGTTCGGGCTCAGTTGTTTTAAAGTGTGTCTGTGTTTGCTGCCTTCCAGCGATGTGCCCTTCTCAGGAGGCAACATCACGTTCAGTCTGCTGACCCCACAGCCCAACCTGAGGCCAGGCTATAAGGACTTCTACCACACTCCCACTCTGCAGAAGATGGCACAAGCCACCCAGGTCAGGTTGCACCTGCATGGGCAGTACCACACCAGAGCTGCTGGGGTGAACCAGCGACACAGATACTATGGCATCAGTGAGATCACAATCAGCGGCAGGTGAGGAGTTACACATGTTGACCCAGAGATCCACTGTAAGTAGCATCTGTTTCTGAAAGTTGGTGGTGGTGTACGAGTTGTTGTCATGATAAATGAGTTAATCTTTTCTATGTCTCAAATATAGCTAAGCATACAGTAGTGTTTATATCTTACAATGCATGGCTGTTGTATTCTGTGTCTAGGGCTGATGGGGGATTTTTTTGTTTGTTTTTTTTTTCTGCCCTCTGACCTTTTTCAGCCAAAATCTAATCACTTCTAGAGTTGGTCCTCACCAGTGTTTGTGCCAAGTATGCAGATGATCCATCCAGCTGTTTGTCAGTAATCCTGCTAACCAACACACACACAGAACCAAAAACATAACCTCCTTGATGGAGGTAATAAAATAAAAACAAAGGTTCGACTACAAATGTCTCAGTCGATTGGTCCCTCAATTAATCATTTAAATAGTCGACTTTCAGGGCGGCAGCCCTATAAGTGTCTTTACCGTTATTTCTGTAAGCGATTACAATTTCACTAATTACTGTAATGTAGAGGAGCCACTGTATGCAGCATAATTTCAATTTGTGTGAGCACAGTTTGACATCTAGAAAAATATTTTGACAGACTGTTTAGTTTCAGCAGAGCTTTCAGAGAGTAATTGTGAACACATCTCTTCATGAGACTGACAGAGGGACTGTTTTTTATGACTCTGGTAATTAGAGGATTATGCAGGAGGCAATCATCTCTAACTCTTTCTCTTCCTCTCCTTCCCTCTAAGCTGTTTTAATTAGCTTGTTACAGTGAAGTAGGAGAAACAGATTTCGAGCTACTGAAATCTCATCTGTGCATTCTTCATCCCTCCTCATCCCCCTCTTCTCGTTCATTTTTCTTTCATCTCTCTTCATTCTGTGTAAATGTAGCAAACACTATAAACACATAATGTAGGCGGACATTTTTGGCATTTCTGTACAGCACTTCTCGGTAGCCGACAAATGCACAGATACAGATGTACAGTATCAGCAGTAAGTTAATATCGACCCATGCCAGTTTATTGATCTTGCTCTAGTAGTTTTACATGAGTTATTTACCCAGACTGGGAGCACATTGTCACTTTATTAGGACGCTATTCTTCATATGTACAATGTTAGTACATTGTACATATATGAATTTGATCATATTGATGTCAGTAAAAATATTTCTAGGAGAGTAAAGTATACCCTGGCTAGAAGGCTAGTGTATGTAATATATTTGACACTGGGGCCTGTGTGTTTATTGTTTGTTTGACATCAGCACAACATGAGGATGGTTGAACAAAATGAATTAATAACCAAATTCCCTAATGTCATTAACATAGAAAAGGGTGAGGGTTTGTGCACATGAGCTTGGGGTTGAAAGTGTCTTTATTTGTGCATATGTAAGGTTGGATAACTAACGTTTAATGTCATTTAAGGGAGGCCACAAGCCAAACAGCACTTTGCATCTCTCCTTTGTTCAGCCTCATTGTGGCATATTTTTCACCTGCTACAGTGATTTTTTACCGTGCTTTTTGGATGAGAGACTCCTTTTTTACTTTTATAGAAGTTGTTTTTTAGATGATACCCTCTTCTGTTGAGCTTTGGAGGCTATCATTGCTCAGGAACAGTTGTTTCTACACATTTTAAATGCACAACTTTTCTGTTATACTATGATGACATAGAAAATGAATTATATTGGTCTATAAGTTATCTTGCATTTTCTTGTCACTTCAGTTTTACATAAGTCGGATCAAATCGTTGCTTTAATCTCCAAGGCATTAAAGTTGCGGTCACCACAAATCAGACGTGCCTCTGTGGTTCAAGTTTGATTCATCTAGCCAACCTGTAAGAGAGAGTGACATAAAGAGAGCAAGAGGTGAGAGGATACACAGATGAAGAGTGAACGAGAGAAAGGAGCAGAATATCTGAATTAATAATTAAGACTGTTGTGTAGCGTATGTGTGTGTGTGTGTGTGTGAGAGAGAGAGAGAGAGAGAGAGAGAGAGAGGGCTGTCTGCAGCCCGTTATGTTGCTCTGATAATTCTCAGTATGGCATTTATAAATGTTGAATGGGAACTTCCTAATGGCACCGCTGCTGTTCCATGGACGAAGGAGGTTGCCACAAACTATGAAGAAGCCTTTGTGATGTTGTTTACTTACCTTTTTGTTGTTGCATGTTTTTTTTGTAATAGATTCTCTAATTGACAGATTTGTACAGCACAGTTTTAACATCTTCCTCTCTTTCTTTTGCTCCCTTCCTCTCCCTTTCTTTGTCATCTGGCCAGATGCGAGTGTCACGGCCACGCAGACCACTGTGATACCAGCGTGACGCCCTACCGCTGTCTGTGTCTGCCTGAGAGCCATGCAGAGGGAAACAACGTGAGTAACAAACCTGTCATAATAAAACCATTCAGACCCCACTGGTAATGATAACCTTGTATGTAAGTTGTAAGTCTAGAGGTGGATGCCTCCTGTTAGTGTTTTATACAGTATTGTACTGTTGTGAAGTTAAAGCCAGGTCATGTTGACACACACACACACGTTTCATTTATTCCATAGTTTTCTATATGAATTGTCATTCCTAGTTATAATAATGTTCAGCATCAGATGTCATGTTCTGGCATATAAACACACACTGAGCACAGAGGGATCCTCCTGGGGAGAGTCTCCTCATGGTCTTAAGTGCTTTTCCTTCTTATCGACATAGAGCACACACATATTTATTGGAACATCTCCTCTGCAAAATATTTTTCTTTTTTGTCCAGTAGAAAGGTGCTTTATTCGTAATTTGCAGAGAAATTGATTAGGTGGAGTAAATGTTTGTGCTTTGGACAGATGCTGTATACCAGTAGGCTCAGGTGGCTCTGCTTGGAACCTGACATTTTGGTTAATGGACAGCTATCAGTGCATCCCAGCTGCAAAATAAGACATTACATTTAATGTTGTTAAACTTGTAAATAAAATTTGTACATCATTTAAAATAATTCAGTGTTGTGACAGCTGACATCAGCCCTGTGGATACAGGACTCGTGTAAAGGTCGGGTGATGAGTACTGTGACAGAGGGATCTCTGCTGTGGAGGGATCTACAGCAGGTTTCTTTGTTTTTACATTACTTTGTGGGTGGGAAAAGTTCAAGTTAAACCTGAAAAGACTGGGACTGCACTGACTGAATATAATAACAAGCACCCTCCTACACACACACTCACATTTAAGAGTTTTTGTCTTGAAATAAAAGTTATTATAGAAACACATACACACAATAATTGGACACTGTCAGGTAATATTGTCATCCAGAATAAGCCAGGAAAAACCTCTCTCTTTTACTGTTTCACAGCCCCTGCATTTTTCCTGCCTCTCCGTGGGACCCTGTCCCACCTCCGTCTTCGTCTCTTTGTCGATCACTCTCCCTCTCTCACACTCTGTCTTTCTCTCCCGGGTCTCAGTTTAAATAATGTCGCAAATCGACTAGAACAATGACATTCCCTCAGCATGCATCTCTAATCAGCTCTCTTTCTCTCTCTGTTTGCCTTTCGCTTCATTTCACTCAGCCGTTTTCTCTACATCCCCCTCACTCTTTATTGCTGCACTTTCTAAGTATTTAATGAATTCCTGCTTGACTCTATTTTCTCCATTTTCTTACAGCCTCAGGCTTTTCTGGTCGCTTTCTTTCCTTCTCACTCCTACATACAGTAATTCTTTTGTTTCCTAGAGATGAATTGGAAATAAGCAATATGGATGCATTTGTGTGTATGTTCTGTGTAAATGAATCTCTACTGGAGCTACGCTTCTGTGAGAGGAGTGTGTTCAACACGTGTATATGTCTATACCCAAGTCCTTTTTACGTGATCATCTTTGTGTGTGCGTGCGCCTGTGTGCACTCTTCTCCCAGACCTGTCCATGTCATCTCTCTGAGTGAATATTCAGGACCTTTCTTCTGTCTCTGTAATGTTGGAGCATAAAAGGCTGTGGGGAATATTAGTGTTTAATATTGCATGCGTTCTGTTGACTTGGATCGGCCCAGCACCATGACGGATGTTGTACTAATCTGCAGAATTTCCACAGTGACATTAAAGTGACAGAAATGCTCAGACATGTGTCAAGATGATCAACGGGGGCCTTGGAAGACACACACTTAAACTCTCTTACACACATGCACACAAAAGCACACACACTTGCTCACTTTCTCACTCTGTCTTTTGATTCTTTTTTTTTTACATGCACTTTGTGTCAGGCTTGATCTTTCTTTCTGTCACTCTGTACATCTCTGCATGACGGACTCACTCATGTCTGAAAGCTATATAGTCATTTGACGAATTTTTTTCAGATTTAATGTTGCCCAATATTATTGTTACAGATAATATTGTTACAGAAGTAAATATGTCATCTTGATAAGATTTAAAAACACTCCCCACTACCCTTTTTTAAATCTAGTTTGTGTGGTTCTCAGTCCACACCCTAAGGCATGGGAGAGAGTTACATCCAGGCTGTTTGTAGCTGCAGCCTGATCAACAAATTGTGTGAATGTTTTGTGTGTGTGTGCACCTGTTTATGTGCATCATCCCAAGAGTTTAAACCAAGCAGTGAGAGTTTTGAGTTCTGAAATGCAGATCAAGAATAGTGTTGAACGTTAGGATTATACAGAGGAGTTTAATTTGTAGGACCACTGGTGCTGTTCTGTTGCACTGGGCAGCAGGTGACTGCCATTTCTTGTATTGGTGTATCTTGTAGCGACCCAGCCCCATAAAGCACCTACCGCTGCAGAAACAGCAATTACTTGCCATCCAGAGCGCTGTAAGGTACTAGGGGAACTACTACCTCCCGGGGGCAGCGTTGTGGTGCAGTGGTTAGCACTATTACCTCACAACAAGACGGTTCTTGGTTTGAGCCCAGGCTGAGCTGAGGCCTTTCTGTGCAGAGTCTGCCTGTTCTCCCTGTGCCTCCCAGAGGCTGGTCCTCACAAGGAAATCACTGGATTTTAGGGTGGCAACATGATTTGATGTTTGGGTGAGGTTAGGTGTTAGGCAAGTAGTGGTTATGGTAAAGGTTAGGATAAGTCTACAGGAAATGATAGCAAGTCAATGTAAAGTCCCCACAAAGAATGAAAACACAGTATGTGCGTGTGTGTGTGTGATAGATATTGATGGCTAGTGACGTTAAGCAGCGTTGCCCAGGATCTCTGTTGCTAAAGTGTGCAGCCGCAGCAGATTTTCACCTGTGCTGGGGTTAACCGGGTTAACTCCAGATATACACAACACGACCATGTACACACACACATGCCAGTGGGGTGACCTTTCCAGTGAGAGCGTGAAATTGGTAATGGCATTTAGGATAGGATGGGTTGCCCCAGCAGCTTTTTACACACAGACACACATACGCAGACGCTTGTGACAGGCCATCTGAATGTCCACATATCCATTAGAGCAGCCTCCTCACTCAGCAGGTTTTGTCGAAACATTCAGAGTGAAAATAAGATGCTATCACTTCCTCTAGTTCCTGGTCTAAGACACACACACAGACACACACATGCTGGCTTTCACTTTACGTGTTAAATGATACTTTCAAAGGGAGAAAAACAAGTCATCACATTACAAGCAATACCTGTTGCACTTAATGCTTTTTTATTTACTTTGACTCCACAGTTTGCCTTATTCTGATTTACTCCATAAGTAAACAGTGTGTTTTGCTAGGAAAGTGTTGATTGAGTTACGAGTCAGGCTATTTATAAAGTGCTGACAGACCTGCCCTGGCATCAGCACAGCAAACTGATCGACTTCGTTTTTCGTAAATATAACGTTACAGTGGGCTGATCATGTGCAGAAACACAAAAACAAGAATTAAAATCATGTAAATGCCGTTTTCGGTATGTGTTGTTGTTTTTGCTGCTGGTACTGTGTGCGAGGGATGGGGCACCATCAATACCTTTTATATGAAGAAAAGAATGACAGTGCGCTCCTGTTTTAACTCCCCAACACTGGTCCCTCGACTAATTAGCAGGCTGGGAAAGAGGGAAGGTAATGCAATGTTGAATGAAAAGAAAAGAGAAGAAAGACAAAAACCCTCCCTTTCATTTGGTATGGTAATATTTCCTGCTCACATACTCACCGTAGCTATGAGAACAAACAGTTTGGGGGACGGTAGAGATGGGGGAAGCGAGCGAGGAAGGGGAGAAGTGGGAAACCAGGAGAGATATACAGAGATTTGTTTTTCAGAAAGACAGGAGAAGAAGGAAGTGTGGGAAGGTGGAAGAGGTGCAGGGCTAGAGGAGAGAAAAGGGAAATGCAGAGAAACAGACATGGGAGAGGAGAAATCACTACATCTCACTCTTCTACTCATCCCCAGCGGGTGAGGCGTAGTGAGAGCGTTCTCTTGCAGAAAGAAAAGTACCTTTGATAAGTTAAACATTTTGGGGCACCGAGGCTGCACAGAGACAGGCAGGCACACAAAAAGACAGATGCACATCCGAACAGAGAGGCGGGTAGTAACTGTTGGTATAGACCAGAGGCCAAACAGCATGGCAGACAGAACAGACAGAAACATGCAAACAGCCCTGCGCTCCTGTGGAATCACATCCCGAGAGACACTCTCCTCTCCCGGTGTGAGGAGAACTGCTGGGGACACGATGTTGTGTGACATTTTATGAGATGTATTGTACCGTAGCTGCACGTGGGTTGTTCTCCACATTAACATTGATTTTATTGGTGTTCTTATTGTCTCTCTCTCTCTTTTCACTGCCTCCGTTTTCCACCCCAGGTCTTGCTCACACACATTTTTTCAGTCATTTCTGTTCACATCACTTTTCTGTCTTTCCTGTCCTCTGCTCCCTTGTCTCTAGTGTACAAAATAGAAGCCTCTTTTCACTATTTCTATCTATGCTCTCTCCCTCCCCTGTCCTCCCCCTGCCTCCCCCCGATGTGTGTCATACATAATAAGCCCAGAACAGGTCTGCATGTGTCACACATGGGAGGAACTCCTGTGTTTTCTTTTTTTTTTTTTAATACATTTTTAATCCCATCATCTGATGCCCCCCTTGTCCACCATAATTTGTACTGACTGCTGAACAAAATCAAAGGGCTTGTACTTGCTGCTTCTGCCTCGGCTGCTCACAGCTACAGAAAAATGCATTTTTATATCATTTTTTCAACTCTTCCCTGCTGCACACAGCTTGGTGTGTTTGTTTTGACAGGAAGGTTGGTCTTTGTGGGAGCACTGCCTGTTGAAAGTCACTCCTCATTAGTGGTCTGACTTCCCTATGCTGTGTGTGCGCATAAGCGTGTGTTAATGTACTGGTTTCTTATTATATCGTAGAAAATACCTCTGTTTTCTTTGTGTGTTATTCTTCTCTCTCTCTAGATTTAGATTTACAAAGACCACAGATGTGTTTTTTTGTTTTTCTGCTTCTCACATGTCTGCATCAGTCTTTGTTCCATGAAAGGAAGCGTTTCACTTGTCATGGGACCATTTGTCTGTGCACACAGTTATTTTCAGTAAATGCACTGTTTTTAATATTCTTTTCATATGCGTTTTACAAATGTTTGGAAATGCACCCGATCTCTTGTCATGTTTTTTGTTTTTTATGTTTGACTTTTATACAGTGTCAGCGTTGTGCACCCCTCTATAATGACAAGCCATTCAGGTCAGGTGACCAACTCCAGCCTATGAACTGCCGGCCTTGCAAATGTCACGGACATGCCGTCTCCTGTCACTACGATGTCCGAGCTGATGACCAACCAGATGGGCATTATCGAGGAGGAGGAGGCGTCTGTGACAGCTGCATGCACAACACCACAGGTACTGTGTGAGCTACAGTTTAAGCTTTCCTTTTTAGAACAACTAAATAAAAATACATTTTAAAATGCATTTTAGGTTTTATTAATATTAAAGCATTTTAAAATGATAACAGATGAGATGCTATTTAATCCTTGTTATTTTAGACATTCCCCGTAATGTACAAGAAGGGAAAGTGTTATGTTAGTGATTAGAAGTGGTGGCAGCAGTCATTCTGAATGTTGTTTTACAAATGTGTATATTTGTGATTATGACGTGTCGAGCCACTTACTGCATGTTTTCATGATTCTGCGAAATCATTTTTCCCAAGCAGACAAATAAGGTTGAAACTGTTTATCTCTGTGGGCTCCACCGTTTCCCTGGTCTTCTTTTCTGTTTCACCCCATTTGCCTCTCTCACCATCAGGTAAGAATTGTGAGCTGTGCATGAGTGGCTTTTTCAGACTTGAGGAATCTGATCTCACTTCAGTCGATGTGTGTCGGCCCTGCAACTGTCACACTGCCGGGACAGTCGGCGGCAGCCTGGAATGTGCCCAGGTACACACAGACACAAACGGCTCATAATTGTTGACTTTTTTAACAAATAAAAAACTGAATAATTGGGCGTGCAAAATTATTCAGCCCCTTTACTTTCAGTGCAGCAAACTCTCTCCAGAAGTTCAGTGAGGATCTCTGAATGATCCAATGTTGACCTAAATGACTAATGATGATAAATAGAATCCACCTGTGTGTAATCAAGTCTCCGTATAAATGCACCTGCACTGTGATAGTCTCAGAGGTCTGTTTAAAGCGCAGAGAGCATCATGAAGAACAAGGAACACACCAGGCAGGTCCGAGATACTGTTGTGGAGAAGTTTAAAGCCGGATTTGGATACAAAAAGATTTCCCAAGCTTTAAACATCTCAAGGAGCACTGTGCAAGTGATAATATTGAAATGGAAGGAGTATCAGACCACTGCAAATCTACCAAGACCTGGCCGTCCCTCTAAACTTTCAGCTCATACAAGGAGAAGACTGATCAGAGATGCAGCCAAGAGGCCCATGATCACTCTGGATGAACTGCAGAGATCTACAGCTGAGGTGGGAGACTCTGTCCATAGGACAACAATCAGTCGTATACTGCACAAATCTGGCCTTTATGGAAGAGTGGCAAGAAGAAAGCCATTTCTTAAAGATATCCATAAAAAGTGTTGTTTAAAGTTTGCCACAAGCCACCTGGGAGACGCACCAAACATGTGGAAGAAGGTGCTCTGGTCAGATGAAACCAAAATCGAACTTTTTGGCAACAATGCAAAACGTTATGTTTGGCGTAAAAGCAACACAGCTCATCACCCTGAACACACCATCCCCATTGTCAAACATGGTGGTGGCAGCATCCTGGTTTGGGCCTGCTTTTCTTCAGCAGGGACAGGGAAGATGGTTAAAATTGATGGGAAGATGGATGGAGCCAAATACAGGACCATTCTGGAAGGAAACCTGATGGAGTCTGCAAAAGACCTGAGACTGGGATGGAGATTTGTCTTCCAACAAGACAATGATCCAAAACATAAAGCAAAATCTACAATGGAATGGTTCACAAATAAACATATCCAGGTGTTAGAATGGCCAAGTCAAAGTCCAGACCTGAATCCACTCGAGAATCTGTGGAAAGAACTGAAAACTGCTGTTCACAAATGCTCTCCATCCAACCTCACTGAGCTCGAGCTGTTTTGCAAGGAGGCATGGGCAAAAATTTCAGTCTCTCGATGTGCAAAACTGATAGAGACATACCCCAAGTGACTTACAGCTGTAATCGCAGCAAAAGGTGGCGCTACCAAGTATTAACTTAAGGGGGCTGAATAATTTTGCACGGCCAATTTTTCAGTTTTTTATTTGTTAAAAAAGTTTGAAATATCCAATAAATTTCGTTCCACTTCATGATTGTGTCCCACTTGTTGTTGATTCTTCACAAAAAATTACAGTTTTATATCTTTATGTTTGAAGCCTGAAATGTGGCAAAAGGTCGCAAAGTTCAAGGGGGCCGAATACTTTCGCAAGGCACTGTATTTTACATTCATTTGAAAGGTAGACTGGGTGTTAAGGGTTAACATGAATTTGACAAGTAAAAAATTTGATTTAAGTTCTGTCCTTTCTCTTACTGCCCTTGTCTTGTTTTTTCTTTTCTTCCCTGCATCTCCCTCTCTCTCCTGTGTTTCTTGCCTCCAGGTAGGAGGTCAGTGTCAGTGTAAAGCTGCAGTAACAGGTCGGCGCTGTGCAGACTGTTTGCCTGGTTGGTATGGTCTCAAAGCCTCATATCCACATGGCTGCATTCGCTGTAAGTGCAGTGGCATTGGCATCATCAGCAACTCAACAGAAGCAGTTCAAAGCTGTAACCAGGCCACGGGACAGTGCTGGTGTAAATCTCATGTCACAGGTGAGCAGACCACTGACACACTTCAGAACAGGGTTTTTTTGCTGTAATATCTGAGAATCTTGAGGAGTGAAATACATGTGCTCGTACATGCCACTGCCTCGTCTTTCCACCTGTTGGCCAGGAACTAACAGAGAATGGTCAAATCAAATCAAATCAAATCAAATTTTATTTGTATAGCGCCAAATCACAACAAAAGTCATCTCAGGACACTATACAAAGTAAGGTCTAGACCTTACTGTTATCAATATTATTACATAGGGAAAACCCAACAAATCCCCCTTGAGCAAGCACTTGGCGACAGTGGGGAGGAAAAACTCCCTTTAAAGGAAGAAACCTCCGACAGACCCCGGCTCTTGGTGGGCGGCCTTCTGCCTCGACCGGTTGGGGTGAGTGGATAGAGGAGAGACAAAAGAAGAAAAGCAACAAGACACAACAATCAAACACTGATCAGGT